TAAAATGCGAAGCATTTTTTGGCGAGCTTGGGCGACTGTGAGCGTATCTATCTATCTATATCTATCTATCTATCTATCTATCTATCTATCTATCTATCTATCTATCTATCTATCTATCTATCTATCTATCTATCTATCTTATCTATCTATCTATCTATCTATCTATCTATCTATCTATCTATCTATCTATCTATCTATCTATCTATCTATCTATCTATCTATCTATCTATCTATCTATCTATCTATCTATCTATCTATCTATCTATCTATCTATCTATCTATCCATCTATCTATCCATCTATCTATCCATCTATCTATCCATCTATCTATCTGTCTATCTATCTATCTATCTATCTATCTATCTATCTATCTATCTATCTATCTATCTATCTATCTATCTATCTATCTATCTATCTATCTATCTATCTATCTATCTATCTATCTATCTATCTATCTATCTATCTATCTATCTATCTATCTATCTATCTAGCCGCCTAGGACATTTAGCTCTTCTGGCCGTTTCGATAATGGTACCGATACCAAACTTGGTATGGCATAATATGACTGTATGAAGAACATATTTGACTAGTCATGATATGAAAATCACGACATTTATGTCATGAATGTCGTGATTTTCATATCATGGTCATGCAGCTCTTGCGGTGGTTTCGTTCACATGGAATGTTGCAAACCTGGTATGGTATGAAATGTTTGCTTGACGAAATCCATCGACAGACCCTAACCTGGAAATCATAAGATGCGTGTCATGTAACAACATGGCTACATGCCACGCTCATGATGCGCTGGCGGCCGTTTGGCTAGCTTCACCTATACCAAATTTAGTATTACGGGACGTGAATGAATGACGAAGGTATAATACTGTTGCAAACATGATAAACATGAGATGCGTGTCAGGTAAGAACATGACTACATGCTACGCTCATTATGCGCTCGTGGCCGTTTCGCTAGCTTCACATGTACCAGACACGGTATTACGCGACGCGAACGGACAACATGGGTAAATGACACATCCAAGCATGATAATGACGACATGAGTGTCACGTAACAACATGACTACATGCCACACATGATGCGCTCATGGCCGTTTCGCTAGCTTCACATATGCCAAATTTGGTATTACGTGACGTCAATGGAGGACGAAGGTACGCGACTGGTGCAAACATGACAATCATGAGATGCGTGTCATGTGAGAACATGACTACATGCCACAAGGCACCAATACATTTCAAGGCACCGATATATTTCGACAGGACGTGGTGCGCGTGCTTGCCGGCGTTAATTTTGTCGCGTCGCGCCAGCGTTGCCACACCAGGCGCCGGCTCTGCCGTATACTCGCAGGCGCGCGCTGCGTTGCTTTGACGCATGCGCGTTTCAGCACGTCCGGCGTCCCTCCGTCACGAAAAGTGGGGAACACAGTGTTGCCTGGGTAACGAATCGGCATAGAGTAATCTTACTCTATAGAATCGGCACGAAATGCAGCTTGTCGCATTTCACACTGGTTGGCGTCGGGCCGCGCCGACGGACGCTGGTCGCACCTGGCGTCAGAGTATAGAGTGCTCGCGTTTTGCTAACGTAGCGTCGCTGTGCCTATAGCGTGCGCGCGTGTCAAGGCTACATTAGAGTACATTGGGCCCTTCATGATGCGCTCACGGCCGTTTTGCTAGCTCCACATATACCAAATTTGGTGTTACGTGACGTCAGTGGATTACGACATATATGACTGGTGCAAACAGGATAATCTTGACACGCGTGTCATGTAAGAACATGACAACATACCACGCTCATAGCATGCTTGTGGCCGTTTCGCTAGCTCCACATATACCAAATTTGGTATCACGTGACGTGAATAGATGACGAAGGTAAAGGACGCATCGAAACATGATAATCATGACACGGAAGTCATGTACGGCATCATTTACCCCCACCTCGTAACGTTCTGCTGATTCTAAAGTGACGTATCAACATTTCTCATTCATGCTTCGCATATCATCGATACCCACTGTACATGATATCTGCCAATTTTTTTTTATGAACATGTGTTTAGAAAAAAGTGGTTAACGATGTAGAGTGCTTGGTACTCTACTATGGGAGGGCACAAAGCCGTCCCATGGGCCTCACACTTCATGGGGCGAACGTGCAAGCAAAATGTGTGTTTAGAAAAAGCTGGTAATGATTTGGAGTACTATAGGAGAGCTCAAAGTGGTCCCGTGGGCCTTACACTTGATGAAGCCCCATCGACAAAAATTAGCCATTCGTTCAGAAACGTGTAAATCACCCAATGTCATAGTGTGTTTAGAAAAAAGTGTTTAACGATTTAGAGCACATGTTACTCTACTGTGGGAGGGCATAAAGCCGCCCCGTGGTGAGTTGAGTCATTATAAGTGTCCCAAAACCACAATCAGTTAATTGTGTATAGAAAATACTGCTGAATGATTTAGAGTGCTTGGCACTCTACTATGGGAGAGCACCAGGCTGTCCCATGGGCCTCACACTGACGCGTTATTAGCGTTACATTGCTGTTTAGAAAAAAAAAGACTGGTGAATGATTTAGAGCACTAGGCCGTGCTGTGTTATGAAAAAATTGTTAACGATCTAGAGCACCAGGTGCTCTAGTATGGGAGAGCTGTGTGCCGTCCCTGAGATACATGTGTTTAGAAATAGTTGTTTACGATTTAGAGTACAAGGTACTCTACTATGGGAGAGCTTAAAGCCGTCCCGTTGACAAAGTTGCAGTCTTAAAAGACACGGTTAAGGGGGGTGTTTAGAAAAAGGGGGTAACGATTTAGAGTACAGGGTACTCTACTATGGGAGAGCTTAAAGCCGTCCAGTGAGCTTAACCTTTTACTTGCCAATGTTCCAAAATTGGAACATACAAAACCTAATTTTTTATTTCCTCTCCAATATATCGCATATTGAAATTTTATGTTCACGCATACTCATTGATGCTTGTGAAAAACGTAGCAGTTTTAATTTCTATTATGGACCTGCGGAGAATAATTAGATAAATTTTTAAAAACAGGCATATTTTGCGCTCCTTGACCACCAGATGTTTGGTGCATTATTCCGCAGGAAAAAGTAATGTTGCAGTGAGCAAAGCAGAACTAAAATATCGGCAAATAGTTCGGGATTACGCGGCAATACAATAAAAAAATAACAAAGACAATCTAGTTTTCAGCTTGAGAGCTTTGTGCGGATGTTCCTTTTTTGGAACATTGGCGTTTCACAGTGTCAAACGCAGCGTAGACGAGCGAGAGCGTTTCGCCTTGTTCTTTTTCTTTTTTTGCCTTGTCGATGGCGCCCGCTGGGTGGCGCTTGGCAGAAACTTGAACATAAGCTTTTCTGGGCGTCATTTTGAGTTTGCCAGACACGTGGAAAGAGCAGCATTGAACTACAGTGCCTAGCTGCATCAATCCCTGTGAATGTAAGTAGAAAACTACCTTGCGGCTGGTTTTATTTTTGTAGTACTGTGCTCTACACCGCAATAACTTTCGTTTTAGGTCTTGGCACAACGCTTCCTGACTTTGGAGGCAGCAATTGACCTTTTGTTCAGCCTTCCCGATGACGAACGCGAAGGTGCGTCTGTATGCCAATTGCCGCCTGTTGAAGATGGCAATATTACTGACGAGGAGCACGTGAACGAAAACGACTTTTCTGAAGTTGTTCCTGATGATGTTTGTGGGCACGTTGAGGTTATGCAGTGCAGGGATGAAGACGTTGATTCGCCTTCTGCATGTTCGAGTCCCGAGCCACGACGAAAGAAACCAGCGGGGCGGCAATTCAGTGCTGGAAAAGGACGCAAAGCTTCAACGAATGCTCGTAAAACAAATACTCCAAAGCACTCCCATACACCAGTATGAGGTGACCATGCCACGTTTGACAAAACACTTCCCAGCGAGAGTTCTCCGTTGTTGCTAGAGGCATTTCCTGATCTTGCAAACATGAGCCCATTTATGCTGTTCAGCAAATTTATTTCTCCGGAGTATCTTGGTTCACTGGCTGAACTAACTGCAAGATACGCACTCCAAAAGAGGGAGGAGGTGGACGTCACAGGAGCGGACATAGGTCAGTTTTTCGGCTTCTTACTTTTCAGCTCGTACCACTCCGTTCCGTCTGATGACTCGTATTGGAGCACTGCAGAAGATCTTTGTGTGCCTATAGTCGCGACAGTGATGGCCCGCAATAGGTTCCGGCAGCTGAAAAGGTTCTTTCATGTTGTTGACAACACTCAGTTGAAAGCAGGCGAAAAAATGGGCCAACTTCAGCCGTTTTACGACGAAATCTCCGAATGTTTCCGCGAGTTTGGAGTGTTCAAAGAAAGGCTCAGCATCGACGAGTCAATGGTGCCCTATTATGGCTACCACTCGTGCAAAATGTTCATTCGCGGTAAACCATTTCGATTTGGGTACAAAATATGGATGATGTGCTCTTCGAAGGGGTACCCCTATGCGATGGAAATATATTGTGAGAAGAACGAGAAGGACGACAAGACACCTCTCGGGACCAGGGTTGTTAGCAATATGGTATCGGTCCTGGAAGCGCCTGAACATCACGAAGTCTACTTTGACAACTTCACTTCTCACGGCCTCTTGACGAAACTGGCTGACAAGGGGATTCGAGCGACAGGGGCTGTGCGAGATTCAAGAACCGGTGGTTGTCCACTGAAGAGCTTGAAAAACATCGAAAAGGAAGAAAGAGGATCTTTCCACTACAAGTGTGACGGGGCAGTCTGCGCATGCAGGTGGAATGACAATGCAGTCGTCACAGTTTCTTCTAACCACCTCAGCCACGAGCCTGTTGGAAGTGCGAAACGCTCCTCACGACGCTCAAACAAAAAGGTGGACATTCTTCAACCATAATTGATCAGAAAATACAATGAGGGCAGGGGCGGAGTAGATGTGATAGACCGCCTCCTCGGAAGCTATCGATCGAGACTGAGGAGCAAGAAATGGTGGTGGAACCTTTCCAGCAATGGTTTGAACATGGCTGTCGTCGCAGGATGGCTCCTCCACTGCGAGCTTCACAAGGGTAGTGATGCCGCCATGACGCACATCGCCTTTCGGCGGGACGTCACCATGTCCTTGCTGCAGCTCAAGCAGAAACTCACTGTAAGACCTGGACCCCGGGTTCATCCGAGACATGAGGACAGAAAAACTGATGGCCACTACATCATCTCAACGACTCGGGGAAGGTGCGCGGAATGCAAGAAGAATACAACGAATCAGTGCCAGCAGTGCAAAAAGCGGCTGCACAAGAAAGGCTTTGCCGCTTACCACGGTTTGTGATTTGCTCACTGTAGTACAGCCAGTAGTATGAAAGAAGAAATTTTCAGAAAGTGTTGTTATAAATATTTATACTTTTCAGAGACATCGTATGACGCTAAATATTATTCTTCAGTTATCCTGAATAAGGAAACCCGACTGAAAAGTCAATAAAAGTTGTTCCAGAGAAAATGTGTGTTTTGCATATGGGAAATGCCAATGTTCCAAAAATGGAACATGCGAAAAAACATGCTTAGTCATTGTGAATGTGGCTGTATTTTTGATCATAGTTAATTTAGAAGGCCAATGCAAATTATCAACATAAATTTTAGTTTTCTTGCTACTGCTTCATAGTGCGGCATTTAAAAGGTTAAAAACAACTGAACACTAACGCTTATTACCAAGGGGGGGGGGAGAGGGGGGGGGATTAGAAAAAGGGGGTAACGATTTAGAGTACAGGGTACTCTACTATGGGAGAGCTTAAAGCCGTCCCGTCATTGCTAGCACCCAACGGATGCTTTGGGGCTGAAGCATTGTCCGAGGAGAACTGAAACATCGAAGCGCCAATTAACACTGGGAAGGCGGGCAAAATAAGTCGGAACAAAGCCCTTCGTCTTGCGCTGGTGCTTGTAACAGGCACACTAGTGATAGCAAATGAAATTTTCATTTCTGTTTGCAACCATACACATTTAACTGCACATTTTGTTCGTGGTCGCGAAACTTTTACAAGAAAACGCGCTTTATCGCTGAAGTTTTGTAACTATGACCTACTACGGCACCGCTATGACGGAGCCCTGGCCCACCGAACGAGTGCCCAACAGATCACAGGGGTGTCGTCGCGAAGGGTGCCTCCCCACTGTTCTGGGAAGGAAGTAGGCAGCGGTACACTATACGGTGACGTGAGAGATTGTGGGAATAGCGCCACATCCCGGCCAGCTAGGCATCGGCATTCCGAGCCGGGTATATTTCATGCATGAAGTGCCAATTTGGAAAAGTCCGGGTCTGCAGCTGGCGAAGTGCGACAGCCTCATCTCGCGTGAAGAACTGTGGGGGGGGGGGGGGACGATAGTTATAGCGCGAGAACAAAACGACACAGAAACAAGAAGGACACGAAGGACACGTGTCCTTCGTGTCCTTCTTGTCTCTGTGTCGTCGTTTTGTTCTCGCGCTATAATTATCGGCATGCCATACCAACTCGCCAAAGCTGCCACACTTCTATGTGTGTGTGTGGGGGGGGGGGAGTTGGTATTGCTGTCGTGGCCTATGTAATGTTGTGTGACTTCATGATATGTAAGAAGAGAGGGACATCACTCTGCGCTGGCCGCCTCACGGTGCGCAAATGTTTGCTGTAGATGGCACTGTACACGGTGCTGTAGATGGCACTGTTGTGGCAACATGGCGACATTTACGAGTAGAAAAAAAAATGTCGAAGAAACATACTTGCTTATTATCCATCAAGTATTACACGAAGATGGTACCGGGAACTGACAGATAAGCAAATATTTACAAAGGTTGAAGCGTGACTCAATAGATGAATAAGCCCGCATGACTGATTAGACGAGGAAGTCGCCGACAGGCGGATGTGGAGCGGCTTTTGTCGTCTTTACGCCGGACTTGGAAGTGATTGAAACAATTTCTTGGTGAACGCAATTCGCAAGCCGGACCACTCTGGCGTGGGTTGGCTGCGTACGGTGTAATTGGTTCCTGTAGAACAGCTGAGAAAAGTAAGACTATTTGAATGAAAAAAAAAAACGAGTCATTAAGGTATAGACAAGTAAACTAGACAATAAGTGTAGAAAATCGAAATCTACGACGCGATGTTGAGGAAGAGGGTGGATGACAAATATAAAGGAAGAAGTCGTGACGGCGTTAGTGCACGTACATCCAAAAGCAAATCAAGAATATAAGAAGTAAGCTTATGAAAAGAAAGTATAAGAAGAAAAGAAGAAAAAGAGAAGAAAAGAAAGAAAGATGACGTCGCGAGTCGATGAAAAGAAGGGACGAAAAGTGATTAAATGTTCGAATTTTACGTCCTAAAACTACGACATGATTATGACAGGCGCCGTAGCTAAAAGCTACGGCAACTTCTACCTCCTGAAACTCACTGAGTTGCGCCTCAATCTATGTATAGGGTCTCTTGTATCATGCCTCCATGAAGATAAGCATTCAGTCCCGATCCTTCGATGAAAATGGGGGTTCGATTCCGTGGCCTTCGGATCGGCAGTGGAGCACCATCACCATTTGACCACCACAGCGGGTCAGAATCCAAAAAGTGTATTGCCAAACGTTGACAGATTATAACCAGTTTGTTCCAGCAAATATTGTGAAACTATGTACCGGGGCACAAAAACGCGCACAGGATCGGAAAGGGTACACGACGCCGGAGGCAAACACTGACACTGCGTTACTCTTGCGGTTCTTTGCGTGCCAGTGTTTGCCGGTATGGTTTCAAAACAGCAAAAAGTTCAGCCAAGAAAGGACAAAGAATGCCGGAGAGAAACAGAAAGGAAAAAGATAAGAGGAACATAGAAATTCTCAAATCAAAAGTTAACGATATGATAGCAAGTGATGACGTCCTCAGGCAATGAGGAAAAACTGCGAAAAAGGCGAAATAAGTTTGAAGGCAAATAATAAGAATAATGAAGTATACCAAACTGTGCGGAATTACCCCGGTGAACCAGATCGGTTAACTAGCTACTATGTACTATTATCCTCTGTGTAGACACACGTATATATTTTGATATAAAAAAGTACCATGCGGACAAAAACAACTTTGGCTGGTTTTCTTCCTTTCGTATACATTTAATCAAGCATCAAAATCTTTTATGCAATTTGTAATGTTTGCATTCTACAACCTCCTCTACTTTAAAACTCTATTGTATTCTACAAAAGCAACCCATTTTTGGCTGATTTCCTCACTGTGGGTGTGAGGCAGTTATAGGTCAACAAAAACAAGAATAAAGGTTGAGCTGAGCAGAAGAGTGAAAGAAAGAGAGATGCCAACAAGGAACAAAACAGTACCAGTAAAAATAAACAGGGAGATATTCATAGCAAGAAAATAAACGATACTAAGAGACAACACGAGCTTGTTGTTTAAACAAGTTTAAAGTGTGCAAGCATCACTTTTAGTCGCTGGGTCCTCTTGAGAAAGACAACGTTACAAACCGTTGTAGAATGGATGAAAGGGTGGAAGCTCCTGTTTGTTTATTGCGAAACTCATTGCAGCAGCTCGCTCTTGCCAGTTGCTATCGCTCAAGTTGGGCACTTAGGTGCCTCGTACGCCAGAGCGTACGGCACAGCCCAACAAAGCTGACAGAGTTTGTACAAGGGTAATTTTAGGCACGCTGGTGAGAGCAGTGATTAGTGCAACGGTCCTCGACTTGCACGGCAGGGCACAACGATGAAGTGCTTGCGCAAAGTTCGAATGCAACAGCACTGCGTGTGTGTGTGCGTGGGGGGGGGGGGGTGCTTTATTTCTTGTGTCGAACCACGAAAGCACGCTGGAGAACAGAGACCGCTGGCAGAATCTTGCTTTTACGCGCTATTGGCCACGTCTGAAGAATCGATGAACAATTTAAGTGTGTCTTTATACCCAAACGTGCATCCTCATCGAGTAAAATATTTTGCTAATGCACTTCATATTTTGCCCTGCACACGACGAAACATGCGTGGGTCCCTCCGTCACACCCCTTCCCATACACCCTCCCCCTTTTTGGCAATGAAAATACCTTTTGAGTCAATGACCTGTCCGCCGATGTCCTCCGGCCAACACCATCACAAGAGTGCTATATAGTACGTGCTGAATTAAACTAATATCCATCCTTATTGTACAATTGCTGCTGAGTGCTATTGTTGGCTGACCGACCGACCGACCGACCAACAAACACACAAAAACAAATAAATAAGTAAATAATGCGCACAGCTGTTGCGATGACACACCCATCGCACGCGCTACCACCTCCCTTCAACCTGCTGAAAAGAAAGTTCGAGCCAATGCCAGAATTTGAATTTATAGATGACATCGTTTTGTTAACATTGTAGTTTCCAGAAGCACCCGCGTCAAACTACAATGTTAACAAAACGATGTCATCTATAAATTCAAATTCTGGCATTGGCTCGAACTTTCTTTTCAGCAGGTTGAAGGGAGGTGGTAGCGCGTGCGATGGGTGTGTCATCGCAACAGCTGTGCGCATTATTTACTTATTTATTTGTTTTTGTGTGTTTGTTGGTCGGTCGGTCGGTCGGTCAGCCAACAATAGCACTCAGCAGCAATTGTACAATAAGGATGGATATTAGTTTAATTCAGCACGTACTATATAGCACTCTTGTGATGGTGTTGGCCGGAGGACATCGGCGGACAGGTCATTGACTCAAAAGGTATTTTCATTGCCAAAAAGGGGGAGGGTGTATGGGAAGGGGTGTGACGGAGGGACCCACGCATGTTTCGTCGTGTGCAGGGCAAAATATGAAGTGCATTAGCAAAATATTTTACTCGATGAGGATGCACGTTTGGGTATAAAGACACACTTAAATTGTTCATCGATTCTTCAGACGTGGCCAATAGCGCGTAAAAGCAAGATTCTGCCAGCGGTCTCTGTTCTCCAGCGTGCTTTCGTGGTTCGACACAAGAAATAAAGCACCCCCCCCCCCCCCCCCCCACGCACACACACACGCAGTGCTGTTGCATTCGAACTTTGCGCAAGCACTTCATCGTTGTGCCCTGCCGTGCAAGTCGAGGACCGTTGCACTAATTACTGCTCTCACCAGCGTGCCTAAAATTACCCTTGTACAAACTCTGTCAGCTTTGTTGGGCTGTGCCGTACGCTCTGGCGTACGAGGCACCTAAGTGCCCAACTTGAGCGATAGCAACTGGCAAGAGCGAGCTGCTGCAATGAGTTTCGCAATAAACAAACAGGAGCTTCCAACAGCACCCGCGTCATTAAGTTTTCGACGCAGTTTTAAGTGATTTTGTGGCTCTGTGGTAGAACACCTACTTGCCACGCAGAAGAATTGGGTTGGGTTCT